AGACATTAGCAGAACTACTGACATACAAAGATGAAATAGGACTAATGTTGCAGCCTCATAAAATAAATTCACTGAAAACAGCAACAATTTAAATACATAAAGTAATTCCACACTTACCACCTGGCTGTTCTGTATCACTTCAGAGGAGAGTAAATAACATAATTGCAAATTTCACTGTCAACTACCTTTTTACCTTTATTAATGTATTTGAAAAAGGTATGCAATCAAACTACAAAACATGAAGCTAAACTACCATTCACAATACTTAGAAAGAACCTCTCCAGGTGGGTAGATGGCTAATACAGGATGTCCTCCATGTTCCTATCTGGACTATGTTAACAACTATCAACTCAGGAGGGGTACTAGTCTATTTCAACCACACATCTGCTCTTGGGAAGATGAAGAGCCCCAACATTGCTATGTTCCTACAGCCTACTGCCAAACAAAAGTTAAAAGTTACTTTCATCACGTAAGGCAGACAAGTTCTTATCACTCCACCAGCAAGACACACCACACATACTTTTCAGGTAACCATATATACACTGAAGTACACTGCTGTAGGGGAAAAATGTGGATTCTATCTGAAGATTACAAGCAACAGGAGGTACAAAAAATTTGTGAGACAGTAATGCTGATACGCATATCATAAATAAATTCCCAATCCCAATTTCTACATCATCTCAACTCTGCCTTAGTTATTATAAAGACTTATTTCCGTGAGTACAGTTATGAATTAAAAATCTATTTATTAAAAATTTAAGATTTTACATCACTCTAACCAGCTTGCAATTTTCAGGTGAAATATTATTTGAGTTAATCCACCAAGCAATTGAAAACTTATTTTTTTTTAACTGCTCAGGTCCCATGAAAGCAGGATGACATCTTGAGAAAATCTCAGTATCCTTCAGAAGTCTCAGCATCTGTTGTTGCTATTTAGGTAGGGGGCTCAAAGGGCTACTTTTATCGTATTAACATATACTAACATAAAGAAAGGAGGAAGAGCATGTTTACCAGCTGCTGGATTTCTCTGAACAATTCTGAATGAAGTGACATCCTTCTGCTTAGACTACTGACACTTTCTGCACATACAATTAATCCACGTTAGAGATTTGATATGAACTGGAACACACAGCAAGACTACAGAATGTCCAAAACAGGAAGACTGACTAAAAACCACCAAGATTAGCCAGCTTGCTTTAACCAACTTTTTTTTTCTATTTTCTAGGCAAATCCAGGTTTTTCCTTTAGTATCTTCCCTTTCAAAAAGGGAATGAGATTTTTCCAAATCTGAACTCCAGATGCTATCTTCCATAAACCTCATCATCCCATCTCTCAGTGACATGTTGTAAAGGAAGCTGAAAGTGAATTCAGAAACTTCCAAAACAAGCAATCTAACCTTAAAAAGGAAAAAAAAAAAGGTCCCAAACCATCTCTAAACACACATTCCCAAGTGAGCTTGCAGGTTAAGAGCAAGGAATTGTCCAGACAACTTGATAAAGCACTGAGCAACCTGGTCTGACCTCATGACTTGGAGTAGTTGGACTACATAGGAAACCGAAAGCTTCAGAGACCTGAATCATGCCTAAAAAAGAATTAAGAAGTCCTGTTTAAAAAATTAAAACAGTGAGAGCCCTGAAAAGATGGGGTTAGACCAATTTTGCTCTCAAAAAGACAAACAAAGCCTACTTTTCTAAAATCTGCTACTTATGAATTCTGAAATGGAGGGAGACACAACAGAAGAGCTATCCAATCCAATTTCTAAGAGATTGCTTTCCTAACAACTGTAAAGCAATGAATTATTCAGAAACAATATACCAAGAAAGGAGAGAGAAGAGGCAGTTGCCTCCAGTGCTAGAACATGGAACTCCAAACAAACACACAAGATGTCCCGAACATCCAGCTAATACACAAAACCGGTCAATGGCACAAAGATTAGTATTTCTTCGTCTTGGCCCCAACCGACATTGTTTTATACCACATTGCTGGCATGGTGTCAGTCTTTCACTGTCTTGCAAATCTTACATCACACCAGGAGGAAGTGAGTGAAGACAACTACAAAGGCATCTGGATTATAATTAAAAAAACAAGCAAAAAAACAAACCCCTGCACACAGTCAGGAAAGGCTGGCACGGGATATTAATACGTCAAATAGTCAACTGGTTTTCTTCAAGCTTTACTTCATCCACTAAGGCAGTGCTTCTATTAAGTGTTAAGTGTTTTATTAAGATGATCAAGCAAAATGCAGTGTATTACAGTTCTCTCTACTGAAACGGTGTCATCAGTAAGACAAGCCTGAAGGTCTCTGTAAAAGTTTTCATCTTTCAGAGAGATTTCAGCACTAAAAACTATTATTCATGCAAGCTTTCAGAGAGGATCA